TCATAGGAATCAACAGAACCACATTGTATTTATATAACGTGTAATGTGAAAATCCCATACTATAGTACATGTACATAGTCTTTAGCCATATTTTAAAATCCCCAAACATATCATTAGCAGGATACTGGTTGAAATCCCCCAACTTACTTTACTATTTTTACTACATGTGCTAATAATGATTATTTTAACTTACAGATAGCTTCAATGTCAGCTAGACTAGGGCCAGACCAGGCATAGCCTGGCTTCTTTATGTGATGTGGCCCCACAAACACTTTCTTCTTAATTAGACCAATACTTGACAGAATGTTGGCAATGTCATACAGACGTCTGACTTTAGCTAAGAAGAATGAAGAAAAGAAAGATACAAAATAATATTATTATAGCATTATTATTATTTACAATTATAATAATTATTTTTAATATTCAAATGTTTATTATTGTTGTTATTTATATTATTTATGGGTATATCATTATTATTATTATTATAAAAGCAATAAGAAGAGAGAAACAAACAGAAACAAAGGAGGTAAATATGAAGAAAGATGATTATTATTACTTTTAGGATTGACTGGAGGGTTCAATGCCATATACAGTGTGTCATCATGATAATCTGGTACCAATATCTTACCAGCATCCTCCAGCGTAATCTCAGTACACTAGAAACAATAAAAATACCGAGTTAAAAAATAACCAAAAGATTACAATAAATTACCAAAAAATTACTGACTTATACAGGAAATTACAGAGATTCACTTACAGCTGATATGAGAAACAGCATAACAAATTTCTGACACAAAACTCCGAGTGATTTATCGTATCGCACAGACCTGGCCGCAGCAGGGACATCTAAGAAAACTTGATAACTATTAATAACTAAACCACACCCACCAGAATCATCATCTTCATCCTCCTCCTCAAGGACAAGCTTCACAGAACCCTTGGCAGAGGAAGATGAATCCTGTAATTTTTAATTAAAAATTTAATAAAGGAAATAATTATAATTATTGTACTTCATTGCCGTTCTCATTCTCTTTGTTGCTGCTCTTCACAGCATCAAAATCAACGTCAAGATATGGCTGAATGTCAGGATCATCAACTGCCATAGCCTTCAAGAAAAGAAGGAAAGAAAGCTTATTAACACTATAGCTTTACTTTTGCAAAGCAACACTTGTTAAAATTAATTTTTAAGCTAATTTGTGCTACACATACATCAATCCTTAATAATCATTGAGTATCATGCAAAGCTTTAAATTTGCAGTTGCATATGCTACACGTACATGTACACAAAAGTAAAGTGCAAATGTACAGCTACGGTACTATTAAATATGTAAAAGAATGATGGATGTGTCTCCTCTCTTACTTTTAGCTTAGCTAGTGTAGCAACAAGGTTGCTCTGCCCATGCCACTGGTACCAGTTCTTGGATTGTTTTGAAATCATTTCGAGCGCTTCCATTACATTAATTATATCGTAGATGCGACGACGATTGATTCCAAGGGAATTAGCAATCATCTCAAGACTGAACTCCTTACCAGGGCCTATCTCGTCCTCGGCTACCTGAAGAAACCTAATATATATTTATAAAAAAAACATACTTAAGATAAAGCTACATGTATAATATTATACATGTGCATGTACATGTATATACACATACATA